CCACTGGCAGTTAAAAGGAAGAAACAGCTAAGACCACATATTGCTCCTCGAAGCATGAAGCTGAAAGCACCAGCCTGAAGATGACGAATGGGTCTTTGTCGAAACGTCGCCAAAACACTTCCAATTTTACACGGGAGAAAACCCGAACAACCAAAGACCCATATATATATATATATATATATATATATATATATATATATATATGTAGGTTTTCTCCCGTGTAAAATTGGAAGTGTCTTGGCGACGTTTCGATGAAGTCCCATTTGTCATATTCAGGCTGGTGTTTTTAGCTTCGTGCTTCGAGCAGCAATGTGTGGATTGTTTTCTGAGGTTTTCGCGGGTGTTTGTATGTAGGTCTTTGGTTGTTCGGGTTTTCTCCCGCGTAAAATTGGAAGTGTCTTGGCGACGTTTCGACGAAGTCCCATTCGTCATCTTCAGGCTGGTGTTTTCAGCTTCGTGCTTCGAGCAGCAATGTGTGCAATGCATTGCTGTTCGAAGCACGAAGCTGAAAACACCAGCTGAAGATGATGAATGGGACTTCGTCGAAATGTCGCCAAGACACTTCCAATTTTACGCGGGAGAAAACCCGAACAACCAAAGACCTACATACAAACACCCGCGAAAACCTCAGAAAACACACACGCACACACACACACACACACACACACATGTATATATCAATATATATATCAATAAATAGTTGAACACCAAGAGAATAAAATTATGCAAAAGTTAAAAATGTTAAAACTTTTATTTAGGAATGCATGAGCACCTTGTTTAATGACCACAACAACCTATGACTGTAATTTTAAGCTCAATTGTGGCTGTACGTTGGGGACCCCCACCCCGTACAATGTTTTCTAATGAGTTACAGTTAACGTATACATTTCAGCCATTAATAATGCTCTGATTGGTGCACTAAGGTATGGCAAACTATACCTTTTTTATACTTAAGATTAACATTATGTCCCTTCTTAAATAACATATTTATTTATTAATTAATTTTTTATCCCATTACACTCTCATGATTCTCACCTAATGTATAACATATGAAATAAAAAAAAATCCACAGTACAATGTAATTACAAAAAAATAAATTAGAGTACATTTTAAAAATTAAGAACCACATAACCATAAGAGTAAAAATTAAAAAAGTTAATGATGGTGTAAGTGAGAAATATTGGAATGGTATCCAGAAAAGCTCAGCTTTTAATAAGCTTCTAAAAGCCATTAAGGAAGAGATTAGCCTGATCTCCACATGCATATACAGTTCTGAGATAAAAACAAAGAAACAACTACTTTGAAATTGTATTTTAATTTTAGTTCCAGATTTTTAAGTATCACTATTCATGTTTTCAACATCTATTTCCCTGTAAAATATTACTAATATAGAGCAATTAGAATTCTATTAGCAATTACATTAAAGAACTTCTGTCAAAAAGTATTCGGAACAATGCCATTTTTTCTTGCTATCATTCCAGTTAATCATTTGTTGTTGGTTTTCTTGTGGAAGTATCATAAAAAGTTATAATTCACAGTTCACCCATTACAAGAAGGCAACTGGACAATTGGTGCAAATAATACTGGGTTTTCCTTTTGAATAAGAAAATTTAGATTTTAAGTGTTCCAAAGCAAAAATCCAGAGTACCATTGGCACTAATTCAATAAGCACATCTTTTCCTTCTCCTTAAATCTACTAAGTGCCACTGAATTGTGTTACAATGTTTGATGCAATTGTATTACAATGTTTGATGTATGGAAAGCATAGTCTAGTCCAGGGGTAGGCAACCCAAAACACTCAAAGAGCCACTTGGACCCATTTCCCACCGAAAACAAAACACTGGGAGCCACAAAAACCTTTTTGATATCTAAAATGAAGATAACACTGCATATATCCTTTTTTATCTTTATTATAGGTATATAGGTGTGTGTGTGTGTGTGTGTGTGTGTGTGTGTGTGTGTGTGTGTGTGTATGTAGGTCTTTGGTTATTCGGGTTTTCTCCTGCGTCAAATTGAAAATCTCTTGGTGATGTTTTGACATTTTGGTGTTTTCGGCTTCGTGCTCCTAGCTGCACGAAGCTGAAGACCCCAGCCTGAAGATGACGTGTGGGACCTCGTCGAAACTTCGCCAAGATACTCTCAATCTTACACAGGAAAAGACCCGAATACACCAAGACCTGCATACCTGTACCCGTGAAAATCTACGAAATATACATACATACATACATACATATACATATATACATACATACGTATACATACATACATACATACATACATATATATTAGAAATAACAAATGTAAAAATAATAAAAGAATTCGGACACCAGGATAAGGTTATAAACACAACTGTTTAATGTGCAAGAATATTTAGCTTTCATCGGCCAAACTGCCGACATTGTCAGAGTATAAAAACCAGGATTTGGGAGTTCACTCATATCACTGGCTGCCTCTGCACCCTGCTCCTCGATCAGGTCATTGGTCTGCTCATTATCACCGATCGTGTTGTTCTTAAAGGGCCCGCACTTGTCAATGTGCGAGTGCAGCAGTAGGACTGGCGAGTGGGAGAACGTCATTGAGTTATACTGTCAATAACTCAATGACGAAGGCACAGGCACATCCTGTGACAAGTGTGGGGGGGAGGATGGGCGAGAGCAACCTGACAGTCAACCCCTGGACGCTTGTATGCACATCAGGGGAATAACAATGACTGGGGGTGGGAGAGCAGCCTCGGAAGCTGCCAAAACAAGTGCAGGCCCTTTAAGAACAACATGATCAGTGATAATGAGCAGACCAATGATCCGATCAAGGAGCAGGGCACAGAGGCAGCCAGTGATATGAGTGAACTCCCAAATCCTGGTTTTTATACTCTGACAATGTCGGCAGTTTGGCCGACGAAAGCTAAGTACTCTTGCATATTAAACAGTTGTGTTTATAACCTTATCCTGGTGTTTGAATTCATTTGTTATTTTTACATTTGTTATTTCTACTGTATGGCTATACCCAGGATTTGTATTTGTAATATAATTAGGGACAACATATATATAGCTATTCTAGTCTCTCATTTAACTCTTTAACTCTTTGTCAACAAAAAAGAAATTTGGATTTGTAATGTATTGCAGTAGCAACTTGAGCCTGCTTAATGCCCCTAGTTTGGAGGCTGTAAGGCAAAAGTGATTATAAGTAGAACTGCAGTATAGCAGTCAAAATACCAAGGTGCATCAATTAAATATATATATATTTAAAGGTAAAAAAAGGATATATGCAGTGTTATCTTCATTTTAGATGTCAAAAGGGTATCTCTCTGTCTCTCTCTGTCTCTGTCTCTCTCTCCCTCCCTCCCTCTCTCTCCCTCCCTCTCCTTCTCTCTTTTTGCCCTTGTTCTGCCAGTCCTCTTCCCCCCCCTCTCTCTCTGTGTGTGTGTGTGTGAGAGAGAGAGAGAAAGAGAGGCACTTGTGTTTCTCCTCTCTCTCTTTCTCTCTTTCTTTCTCTCTCTCCTCTCCCTCTATCTTTTTCTCTTTCCTCTCTCTCTCTTTCCTCTCCCCCCTCTCTCTTTCTCTGTCTTTCTCTTTACTCTCCCCTTCTTTCTCTTTCTCTGTCTTTCTCTGTCTTTCTCCTCTCCCGCTCTCTCTTTCTCTTTGCTCTCTCTCTCTTTCTCTCCCCCCCCTCTGGTCTTCTGCTGACATGGCAAGCTGGCTTCAAGCTGTTTTGCAACAGGCTGGCTCTCTCCTCCCCTTCCTGCTTCCTATTTCCTGCAGAGATGCAGCCAAGGCAGGAGCCCCACCCAATAACTTTTCAGCTCTTTGAACAGGGTGAGGCCACTATCTTTTTTACACACACAAACACACACACAGAGAGACAGAGAGACAGAGAGAGAGAGAGAGAGAGAGAGAGAGAGAAGGGAAATGCAAGTGCTTCTCTCTGTCTCTCTCTGCAAATGGCAGAAGAGGTTGAGAGCCACAGGAGAAGGCTTAAAGAGCAGCATATGGCTCCGGAGCTGCAGGTTGCTGACCTGTTAGAATCTTTCAATTTTATTATCAGTGGAATTGTTAAGATCACTTTTAAAATTCTTCCATTGAAATTGATATAAGTAGGTTTAAGTCCATCATATACTTGGTCATTTATTTGTATATTAATGTACACTGACTATGTAAAAGCTGCAACATTTAACATCCTTCCCCAAAAGGAAAAATAAAATCTATTGTACTTACTATAGAATGTTTGGGAGATCCACAGACTCAAAATAAAATCACAGTCCACAATCCTCTTTCAGAACATAGAATCTTAATCCAAATAATATCAGAAAGATTAAAAACTTATTATCAGTTTACCCAGTAAAAATGATGCAAGACATATAATAAAAACAATATACTGTAGAATCAAAAAGAAACCATTATACATATAACCTTTAATATTGTTAAAACATTCACTGAAGTTTTCATTTCATTCAAGCAAAATTTATTAGTGAAAGAACTGAGAGAAAACACTTAATTTGGAAGAATAATTGTTGAATGCTTATCTAGAAGTGTGTGTGGTTGTTTTGCTTTTAAGTATGTTGCAATAGGAAGTCAAAAAGATTTATTTTTTTGTTTTAAGAATGAGAAATACATTTAAATATTGAATTATTTTAAACATTTTTTAAATTTTTGGGACTAAGGATTTGCCATTATTCAAGTGCATGTTCATAAACAGCAACTAATTGGTCATACAATGATATTAATAAAAATATTTTTCCTTTCAAAATTTATTTGAAATTCCAAAAATCTCTGCCAATATTCTTGAACTTATTCTAAAGCACTAATTGGAAGTATAGAGGGGTCAAGGCAGAGTTATGTTATGGTTTCTTTTTGTATCCATGACATTTTCCCCAAGGTACCTCCCATCCCATGGAAGTCATTCTACTATGCAAAAATGATATGCGGCATGTTATATAATCTAAAGTTTTCAAATACTTCATAATGGAGGAATAATAAATTTAAAAATTTTGAATAGGCACTTACTGGAATTACAGTTAATCCTGATACAGTCTAGATGGGGAAGAATAGATGAGAAATGAAAATTTATCCTTCAAAGTATTAGCTGCAGACATCCAGTAAAATCACATTCCACCCTTCCGGGGACAGACACATGCAAACATGGCCACTATATATGTTTTGATTCTTTCCGTATTGCCAGAGAATGCAGTTATATGGTGATAAGACTTTAGAAATAGAAGAAGTGATAATAGGATAACAAAAAAATGGCCAATTTCAAACAAAGCTACATGGTGACAAATCTAAGTGAAAAAAATGGTTTGTGGCAATGGTTCCAGTCAGTGGATTTAAGCTGGCTGCAACATTCTCTCCCATATATGAAAGAACAAAGCGACCTCTATTATAATTTCAAAAACTGCTCCGTCACAATGGGGAATAGTGCTTGCCAAGGCTAAAAACTCACATTCTGGGCCACTGGTATTACCTCAAAGGAGGATACATTTTTCAACATTTAAAATGCCATACATAAACTACTTTAGATTTCTTCTCAATTTCTGGAATATCTGTAACTCCATTTAAACAATTCATAAATAGCTGAAAAGTGATTCCTTCATGTAATCTTTATTTTTAAAGTGTAATTATTCTCAACCAAATCTATGATTGATGGTTTGCTTTTTGTCTGTTACCGCACACCTACGCATCAATAGTGACTTTTGAATCTCAGAATGAATAAGGCTTGTAAAAAAAAACCCGTTGCTTTTGTTCCATTGCTTCTGTATGTACACTCTGCTAGGTTTTCTATGGATGAATGATTTATGCTCGGATAATCAGCATTTTAATTATTCCTCTTCAAGGTCTTTGAGGATTTATAGATATTTAAAGAAAAAAACCCTTAGATTTTGTTTCCATGTAGCTGAGTTTGTCATGTGTCGTCAACCGCATCAGAAAAGTGGTTGCAAACAGCCAAGGAACATCCCCTATGTGCCTCTGTCTACAGAAAGCTCTCTTGAAATAGCCCCCATTTCATTGTCAGCCCCTGCCATTTTCTCAACTCAAAACTATATAGCAGCCTGCAGTAACTTACAATTGCCACAAGAGGGCTCTAGGTAAAACTTAGAAGAATTCCCCACTGCAAAATCTTTTTAACACCATCAAAATTCAACCATTCAAAGTTCCTTAGAAATGGGGTTTGAATATTATCAACTGTCCTATTAGTGTTTTTTTTTTTCCAAATTATAAGTGAAATCACTTCAGGTTAGCTTTTCAATATGCTGCATGAATGGTCTGGAAAATATTCTCAAAAAATGAAGCTCTTCAAGAAAACCTACAGTATATGAGCTTTGTGAATGAAGAAAGGAGTTTGTTTACAAAAAAACAAAAACACCCCTAGAAAGCATGATCTCGGTTCTGCAGAAGAGTTTATGTGGTTCGTGTTCACATGGCTGTTTGCTGAGGGCCGCAGACTTTGGGCATTGAAGGGTTGTCTTATTTGTGACACACAGAAAAACCAATATGAAGTTTGTGGGAGCATTTTTAAGGAAGAACAGAAAGCAGGGAGGAAAGATGATTTTGGTAACATAGAATGACAGACTGCTACAGAGAGAGAAGACCATGGCCAACAAACATGTCACTTATAATTGTGGTATAGATTTGCAAGATATCTTATTTCTATACTTGTGCATACATTTTACATAAACTGCAATGCATTAGAAATTGCTAGAAACAGTAAACTATAATCAGGATGGCTCTGACATATTTGTGAACATTTTAAGAATAAACTTTGTTTTCACGAGTAACTTACGTAGGTGTGGTTTCTGACTATAGGCCACACAGAAAAGCCAGGTAATTTTTTTTATTATTTTGGACCACTCGCAGACTATCATCATCCATGACACTGACAATAACATGGTATTCAGACAGAGTGTTAGTTTTTTCAAAGTTTATATAACTCGTAAGAGATTGCCAAACACAAACACAGAGCTAGGAATACAGCTTTTCAGGAACAGAAGTGGAGGTTGGTACTGAATAGGCACTTGTACCTTGTGCCAAAGGAATACTTGATTTCTAGCAATATGGACATATCTGTCAGGATAAATAATTTTAGGTACAATTTTTTTTCAAAACGGAATACCCCATTAACACCACTGAAGTGCTGGTCTTCTCTTTTTAGAACAGGCTGCAGCTCAAAATTAATTGTAATGGGTTGTAAAGGAATGCACAAAAATAAAAGAATATAAATCCCAACTAAATAAATAAATAAATAATGGAATAATATTACAAATACACATACACACACACATACAAATTTCATATATAAAAGACAAGTTATTTTCAGTGTCAAACAGGCTATTGAATTGATGCTAGCAGGCAAAGATAAAAAAAGATGTTTGAAATGTAAATTTTAGGATGGGAGAGGGGGAAGAATGTTACCTAGGTTGACTGTTAGTTTAACTCGTCCTGCATCCAGCTCTAAACGCAATGTATCAGCAGATTCTCTTGAAGTCGTGGCCATCAGAATGCCATATGCTCTCTGAGACCTGAACCGTAAGGAGACATCTTCTGCTTCTGTGTGCATCACCATAGGGAGTTGAATTTTCATAAACATGCTTCCATCATAGCTTAGAACAGTTGCCTCTAAAAGTATACAAGCAGAAAAATGATAAGAAATTTACCATCTTGGATTTCTGCAAGGTGAAAAGCCTACAAAAGATACCAAGAGTTACATCAAGATATATTAAACCACGTTTACAAATCTTGTGCTGCACCAAGGTGAGCATATCCTACCAGCTATAGAGAGTGAAACACAAAGGGCATGATAAATCTCTGTTTCCAAGTGCATTCCTGGACATTGTAAATAGGAGATGTGACAAGAACTGGGCAGTCTGCATTATAAAAATGGCAGGTTCTGATTAACCTGATGGATTGCTATTTCTAGTTATCAAACTCTGCCCAGAATCTGAATAAGAATTTTTAACACCAATAACTTAATGGAAAATAACATCAGCAGTAACGTAACTATTATCAAATGAAAGATATGCTTATATTTTCCTTTCCAATGCCTGCTTAACAATATTCTATATCTATACTGTTGTTTTTATATGGGTCCACAGCAATTCATACATTTATAAATAAAATACATTTTATCACTGTTTTAAATGCTGCATTCATCTACTACTCAATTACATACCATCTCCTAATATAAACATTCTAACATCATTAAAAATAGTAAAAAGAAGAGAGGAGAGTTGAGGGGAGAAGTCCAGGCCTGCACATACAATATGTATAATGTGAGCTTCTCTATTTACTATTAGCCTCCCCAAAAACATACATTGAAAAATATCACTTGACTTACTAAACTCCAAAGCCTGGTTAACAAGTATACATGCCACCTCTCCCCGCCCTCTCCAAATCATGAGAACAGGCTTCATTCAGTCTTAGGAACAGGCAATTTTTATTATGGACACCTTCCTTCCTTCTTTCTTTCCTTCCTTCCTTCCTTCCTTCCTTCCTTCCTTCCTTCCTTCCTTCCTTCCTTCTTTCTTTCTTTCTTTCTTTCTTTCTTTCTTTCTTTCTTTCTTTCTTTCTTTCTAAAATTACTATGGACATTAATGGATACAGGGTATATCCAGGGATATGGAGATGTCACTGAGTGGGTTTGGTCAAATATTTCCAAGCATTTAGGAGACAGTGTTGAAACTCTGGTCATAAAGAAGGCATTGTGCCTCCCAGAGGCTGATCATGCCCACTGTAATCATTAATGTAGAGAAATAATAGACGGGATTGTGGCTGCTTATGCACTGCCCATCCTGGGCTTATAATAAAATTTGGCACGGGTTTTATGGAAAACCAGATTATAAATGATATTATACAATCAGGTCTGGAAAATGTGATAAGCCTAAAATTTTTGTTAAAAAGTCATGCATAATGGTAAATTAAATGGTGGTGATATATTTCCTTCTTCTTGTTTTGTTTTGTGTGGATTTTTCCCTCTTTTGGCCAAGGTATTAGTTTATGCTCTGCCACATGTTTTAGACACTTTTTTTTCATACTTTCACTGCCTCAGCAATAATATTGTAAATGTCCTGGAAAGATTATGTATTATGGTTTTGGTCGCCACTCCTGAACAATATAAGTGGACCCGTGTTTATACTTCATTCAGATCAGATGATATACAGTATAGTAAAGGCCTATTCTCACTCTGAGTCGCAATTCCAAAGGGACTGGAAAGCCAAACAGCAATGGAGCAGAAAGTTATGCTCTAAACAACAGGAAAAAAGGGTTTAATAATATCTTGCTCATTAGGTAGCTTGCAGCATGTAGGGCAGGGAATAAATGTTTTTACCATCATTTCTGCATTAGAAATGCAACAGTTATAAAGGGAGGAAATGGCTTTATTAAAGTACACAAGAGAGCAATTGTCCCTTAAGGATGGGGTAGAAGAGGCAGAAGGAATTACATTAGTAAGTTTTCAGAAGTTTTATCCTGAAAGTAAATAATAGTAATTTTGGGGATTATGAAAAATGGAAAAATGGATTTGCTAATGAATTTGCTAATGCACAGAGGAATTTTCACAGAGTATTGACATTAATGATTTCTTTCTGGAAATAAATTCATTCAAATATTAATTCTGTTCTGCAAGATGCATCATTTTTGTAAAATACTTATGTTCTTTTGAGTTTTATTTTATTTGTAATAAAATATACCAGAAATGAATGCTACATGCTTTTATTTTTGCAAATAAATATATAATAAATATATAATAAATATTACAAAGCTAGAAGGATGCCCGTTTATCATTTGAAATCCAATTTGAAGAGCTGTTTAGATATTTGGTCTGTGCATACCAGTTTAAATACTTGATTCCCCATTTTTGCCCACTTTTTATAAACTGTTTGGTCTATTAATTACAGTGATCACCTGATCATACTGAATATTTGCTACTTGTTTTATTTAGCTGAAGACATGTAAGCTGTTTGGCTGACCCCCTCTTTTTCATCTAATACAGATAATAAAAGGGTGTAGGCCAAACTAAAAAAGTTCTGCATCTTAGCATCTCTGCTACCCCCTTGTCATTTTCATTCATTTCATTCATATTGCCCTTTTTATTGCTGTTCCTAGCCTGTTGAAAACGAACACCTGTGAAAGCTGTTGCCAAAAGGTAATCATGTACTGCAAACCCCAATAAAATATAAAGAAAGAAGCCAAATTATGCTGCCATGACATCTGTCTTGCCAACTGCTAATGTTGTCATAAACAAACAAAGCCCATCCACTGATTACTCTGATGTTTATACTTTCAGCATAATCAGCCAAAACTCACAGTAGCAAAATATGTGTAGAACACTACAACTTCTAAGATTATTATGTTCAGCCCATTTGAGAATATAGTCAACTTCAGGGATGGGAGAAAGAGAAATATAAAACTGGCAATAGCTTTCTTCTCTCCACTCTCCCCATGGCCCACATCTTTTATGAACTCTCTTACATGAAAAGGAAAATTCTTTCTAGCTTCCAATTATAAAATAAAATTAAACTTGAAACACAGAGACTTGTTGTTGTTGTTAATTGCGAAGTCGTGTCCGACCCATCGCGACCCCATGGACAACGTTCCTCCAGGTCTTCCTGTCCTCTACCATCTTCTGGAGTCCATTTAAATTCACACCTACTGCTTCAGTGACTCCATCCAGCCATCTCATTCTCTGTCGTCCCCTTCTTCTATTGCCCTCAATCTTTCCCAGCATTAGGCTCTTCTCCAGTGAATCCTTCCTTCTCATTAGGTGGCCAAAGTACTTGAGTTTCAACTTCAGGATCTGGCCTTCTAAAGAGCAGTCGGGGTTGATCTCTTCTAGGACTGACCGGTTTGAACGCCTTGCAGTCCAAGGGACTCGCAGGAGTCTTCTCCAGCACCATAGTTCAAAGGCCTCAATTCTTTTGCGCTCAGCCTTTCTTATGGTCCAACTTTCACAGCCATACATTGCAACTGGGAAAACCATGGCCTGGACTATACGCACTTTTGTTGGCAGGGTGATGTCTCTGCTTTTTAGAATGCTGCCTAGATTTGCCATAGCTTTCCTCCCCAGGAGCAAGCGTCTTTTAATTTCTTGGCTGCAGTCCCCATCTGAGGTGATCTTGGAGCCCAGAAAAATAAAATCTGTCACTACCTCCATTTCTTCCCCATCTATTTGCCAGGAATTGAGAGGGCCGGATGCCATGATTTTGGTTTTCTTAATGTTGAGTTTCAAGCCAACTTTTGCACTCTCCTTCTTCACCCGCATCAAGAGGCTCTTTAGTTCCTCTTCACTTTCTGCCATTAGAGTGGTATCATCTGCATATCTTAGGTTGTTGATATTTCTCCCGGCAATCTTAATTCCAACTTTTGATTCATCTAGCCCTGCCTTTCTCATGATGTGCTCTGCATATAAGTTAAATAGGCAGGGCGACAGTATACAGCCTTGCCGGACTCCTTTTCCAATTTTGAACCAATCAGTGGTTCCGTGTTCGGTTCTCACTGTTGCTTCTTGACCCACATATAGGTTTCTAAAGAGACAAATGAGATGGTCTGGTACTCCCATCTCTTTAAGGACTTGCCACAATTTGTTGTGATCCACACAATCAAAGGCTTTTGCATAGTCAATGAAGCAGAAGTAGATGTTTTTCTGGAACTCCCTAGCTTTCTCCATGATCCAGCGTATGTTGGCAATTTGATCTCTAGTTCCTCTGCCTCTTCGAAATCCTGCCTGTACTTCTGGTAGTTCTCGATCCACATACTGCTGGAGTCTAGCTTGTAGGATTTTAAGCATAACTTTACTAGCATGTGAAATGAGTGCAATGGTGCGATAGTTTGAACATTCTTTGGCATTGCCTTTCTTTGGAATTGGAATGTAAACTGACCTTTTCCAATCCTGTGGCCACTGTTGAGTTTTCCAAATTTGCTGGCAAATTGAGTGTAGCACTTTTACTGCATCGTCTTTTAAGATTTTGAATAGCTCAGCTGGAATACTGTCACCTCCACTAGCTTTGTTGTTGCTCAGATTTTCTAAGGCCCATTTCACTTCACATTCTAGGATGTCTGGTTCGAGGTCAATGACCATCTCATTGTGGTTATCTGGGATGTTAAGCTCATTCTTGTATAGTTCTTCTGTGTAGTTTTGCCATCTCTTCTTAATCTCTTCTGCCTCTGTTAGGTCTCTGCCATTTTGGTCCTTTATCATGCCCATCTTTGCATGAAACGTTCCCTTCATATCTCCAATTTTCTTGAAGAGATCTCTGGTCCTCCCTATTCTGTTGTTTTCTTCTATTTCTTTGCACTGTTCATTTAAGAAGGCATTCTTATCTCTTCTAGCTACTCTCTGGAATTCTGCATTCAATTGGGTGTATCTTTCTCTTTCTCCTTTGCCTTTCGCTTCCCTTCTTTCCTCAGCTATTTGCAAAGCTTCCTCAGACAGCCATTTTGCTTTCTTGCATTTCTTTTTCTTTGGGATGGTTTTAGTTGCTACCTCTTGTACAATGTTGCGAACTTCCATCCATAGTTCTTCAGGCACTCTGTCTATCAGATCCAGTTCCTTAAATCTATTTGTCACCTCTACTGTATATTCATCAGGAATATGATTTAGTTCATACCTGAGTGGCCTAGTG